GTTGATTTTTTTGTTCTAAGGCCAGTGTTGCCAAAATTTGCCCATTTTAAGAGGAGTGGACTCCACCCCCCACCCATCCGGGCTGGGGAATTCTGGGAGTTGAAGTCCACTCATCTTAAAGTGGTCAAGTTTGGACAACACTGGCTTAAGCAGAGTGATTAAAATGCAAGCCTCTTTGAATCTAACAGGATCTACTTCCAAGCAAACTCAGTTTCGATAACACTGTAATCCTACACCAAATGGTCTACAATGCCTGCAAATGTTCTGATTGTACAGACCAAAACAGGCTTGGAAAGAGTTTAGGATCATCTGCTTCCTCCTTTATTACTGACAGTTTGAACATCTGGGCTGGATTGCCATGGGACTTTCTTTCAAGATTTGCTAATTAGATTTCCAAGAAATCATTCACAAGCTAGTTTGCCCTCCGTGTTAGCATCCTTGTTGGTTCCACTCTAATGGAACTCTTAATTTGCAATAGTAAACCTACATATGTTCACATGAACATATGAAGAAGGGGAGAGATATGATGCCAGATTAGCAACTCAGTTGGAATGCCCTGAAACATTATTTTTTTTCTCCACCCTCCACATTTAATCTTCAATTTCATTGTGTTTACTGAAGGGAGAAGCCAACAACTTTCATTTCAGCTGCACAGCTTATAAATGAACACGAATCATCTGCTGTTGCTGCTGTGATTCACTTAGGCTGCAATGGTACAGTTTCTTACCTAAAAGTAACTCCACTAAATTCAATGAGACTTTTGTGTGTGCATGTATTAGGGAAGAGAGCTCCTGTCATGATCAGCAAAAGCTGATGGAAATGGGAGTTCAAGCCTACCAGTTGTCTCAGCTGAGAGAAAGGGATCAGTTGAGCAGAGACTTGAATAAGAGATTTCAACACCTGGACCACAAACTCGTGTTCTAAGTTGGAATTGCTTGTGTTGGCAGCCAGCTGATTTACCTGCATATCAAGGGCCCTCTTATAAATTTGCTTTTCTTCCATCTTCTCTTTCAGATATTTTGCTCTTTGGGCAGCTAATCTAGAAAAGTAGACAGAAGACTAGGAATCAGCCAGTACAATTTCAGTCAGATTTACTCCTGGATGGTCATCAACATAGTAGGAGTTGTTGTTTTGATTTGATGTTTAATGGCCCAGGTAGCATCTAAAGCACTGGCCTGGGATCGGGCTGCCCAAATCTACAGCATTTCCATTAGATCTTAAAAGCCACCGCTGTATTGACTGCTGGCCCCCTACAGGTGGTCCTTGTTTAGTGAGTGCATTAATGACCACAACTGGGACCACCAACTTGGTTGCAGTCACTAAGTGAAGAATCACATGATCACAAGTGTGCTTGTGATTTTACTTGAGCTTTCCTTTGCTTTACAGGATATGAGCCCAAATGGCAGGGAAGGTTTCCAAAACTTGATTCATGAGGAAGCTGGATGGGCAAATCTTATGGCCTTTTTCCCCCACCCTCCGGCTCACCCCAGCATGGGGAAATTAGCAAGAAGGGATTCTAATCAATGAATTAAGGTCACAGAACTGAGCTTGTTAACTTGCTGCTTGCACTTTTTGGGGAACTGCTGGAGAAAAGCAGTTCAGGAAGAGATAGCTTGTCTAGGCAATCTCTCCGCTCTGTGAGGGGAGCAAAAGAAAAAAATGGGTCAGACACAAGACAATGTGTACTAACTGACTGTAATAGTGAACATGTGACTGAGAGAGAGAGATGCTGTGAAGGTCATAAACACGGTCATTTCATCACCATCATGACTTCAAATGGTCAGTGTCTGAGGTGGTCACTAAACAAGGACTATCTGTATATTCAAGACATATCTTGACATTCTCTATCTTAAGAAGCGCTGAAGATGCAGACGATAAGGCCAAGAGAGTAGAGAAGGAAAGGCTTTTACTACATGTTTAAGAGAAATACCATATTACTATTTCAAGGCATGTTCCAGGCATTAGTGCCACACCATGATTTTATATTATGCTCTTAGTCTGAATTTGCAATTGAAAGCACCATGATGCTACAAGGAAGACAGTTGTGGAATGAACAATAAATAACAATTGATTGGAACAAGCTTCCTAAATCCTGGGTCCCTCTGAATGAGTCTGGTTACAACTTCCACCATCCCTAACTGGTTGAGGGTGATGGAATGATAGTCAAACATATCTGGAGTATTCCAGTGTTGTTGTTTTTTTAGATTTTTTTTATCCTGCCTTTCTTATTTTTATAAATAACTCAAAATGGCGAACATATCTAATACTCCTTCCTCTTCCTATTTTTCCCACAACAATAACCCTGTGAGGTGAGTTGGGCTGAGAAAAAGTGACTGGCCCAAAGTCACCCAGCTGGCTTTAATGCCCAAGGAGGGACTAGAACTCACAGTCTCCTGGTTTCTAGCCTGGTGCCTTCACCACTAGACCATACTGACTGTCTGGGAAATCTGAATCACCAACCCTACCAAACAGGTGCCCCTCCAGCAGTGTTTCTCAACCTTGGCGACTTTAAGATGTGTGGACTTCAACTTCAAGGCTGGCTGGGGAATTCTGAGAGTTGAAGTCCATGCATTTTAAAGTTGCCAAGGTTGAGAAACACTGCCTTCCAGATTCTGCAGGACTTCCAAGCTCATAATTATGACATCTAGAGGGCACCAGGCTAGAGAAAGATACATTTAAAACTTGGAATCAATAAATATTGAGGAAAGAAATGCTTCAAAGGTAGACCAACTTATCCCAAAAGTCTCACTCTTCTGCCAGCTGAACTTGCTGCAAGCGGTCAATGAAGTCTTGTTCCTGCTTTTGCTTTGTTTCTCTGGCTTTCCTGCTCTCCAGCTGCTTGTCCAAGTGCTGGGCATACTCCTCTTGCTTCTCATGAGGGGTACAACTGGGTGGCCTCTGCTCAAAAATGAAGGACCTCTGAAAAGAGGTACAAATCTCTATGTGAATAAACACAATACTTTGGTTTTGCATTCCCCTTCCCTTCCAACAAAGTTCCACAATGGTTCCCCTTCCCTTCCAACAAAACACACATTAAAAGCATCCACATTTCATGAAGGTATTCTCTCAAAAGTTCTTGCAAAAAACCCCAAACATTTCATGAGATTTGGCAAGCTCATGAATTTTCAAGCTTTAAAAAAAACATACATACATATTAAAAATTAAGGGGGGGTACAGAGATTATTGAAGAATGTTGTTGATGCTCTGTGCACATGAGAGCAGTGTTGCTAATACTGATCTATAGAAACATGGAAACCAGTATCTATGAAGGCTGCCAAAAAGGTAAAACCCACTTTGCCCAGAAGGCTATACCTAATGAATTAATGTAAAATGACATCATATCCCACATGCTTATATCATGTTAAACTTTTTATATTACTGTTATATTCTTTTTATCTATTGAACTTTTAAAAATAATGTTTTAACTGATTTATGCTCCTACAGAATTCCTCAAGCAGATAAGAAGCTGCATTACTTTGTAGCTAAGGGCCTGCCGCTGTCTAACTATGGGGTGCCTTTATGGGTGAAGGAGTAGATGGACTGATAGTATTGGACGTGAGCTAGACCAATGGCCACAGAGGCTAGGGATTCTGGGAAACCTTAACAAATCTGGCCTCTGGCTGGAGAGGACTATCTTAATGGCTCACTTGGCAAAGCTCTCTCCAATGCTCTTATTTTTGACAAGAGCTCTTGATTCAGATAAAATAGATTTTTCCATATGGTCATGCTGTGTGTGGATCATGGGACTGGTGGTCCAACAGATCAGAAGAGCCTAGATAGAGAAAAGGCCAAGCAAAAGTTTTGCAAAGAGTGGGGTCTTACAAAGGGTTCAGCCAGCTTTTCATTCTTGTGTTTTCGAATGGCTTCGGCAATGCCCAGGTTATAAGCTGCCACTTTCTGATTCTGCTCCCGAGCTGTCACAATTCCCATCTGTAGTTTGGAGAAAGAATTAAATGGTTTTGAGCTGAAAAGGATGGAAAAGAAGAGATGAACTGGGCCAAATTAGAGAAACCATGATTCAGAATCAATAATGGGTGTCCCGTCCCCCACTGGTCATGCTGTGAATGGTGCATGTCATTCTTGGAAACTTCTTCCACATATGTGACTTCCTTCCATCCGCTCACCACAAGCTATGCCTCAAGAGTCCCCAGCTGTAAGATCCTCTCCTACATTGTTGCCCCAAGGGTTCCCCAAAGAACTAGATCCAGAGGCCTTCAATCTTCCTTCTCTGCCTAGCCCTTGGGATGTGGCACTCTGAAAGTCTGTAGTTTTCAAGACTGGCTTCAGAGAATCACAAGGTGAGACATTCAGCAGGACTACAGGAATGTCCAAAGATATCATTCCCAACACTTCCACTATGCCAGGACTATTACAAAAAAATACTTTGGGAATTTTCCTTTGGCATCGCTTCCCTCTTCGAGCAGGAGAGAAGAAAAGGCCTTGAAGACTTCCCTCCCCACTTGAAAACATGGAACCAGCAATGGCAGGTAGGAACCCTGAAATTGTGCAGGGAATATGCATTTCTACCAGGTTGTTTGACTTCAGACAACTCATTCATTCATATGAATGAATCTTGAGAGTGCTGTGATTATGAAGGGAAGAACAGGAACATGTGAATCAGCAGTGAAAAAATTAGCATTGCTCTTCTGGTTCCAAAAGTCCTGCTTTTCTAGAAAGAAAAAAAACAATTTTTCAGTCCCAATACCAGCTGCTTCTGAAGGGCGTCTTGATCTTTCATGACTTGATACTGGGCCAGGATGCGGTCATCCTCTTTCTCCTTCCTCCTTTTTTCTTCAGCCAAGTAGAGAGGAAAATTCCTCTGAGCACGCTGCATGCATAGGTAACACATCTCCTGGAGGTACACAAAGCAAAGAATGCCACTGAACTGTAGGCTCTGCCTTTATTGATTTCCAAGGAAGATTTAATCCCACTTTTAACACGAGACATTTCTAAAGTAAGGTTTCTGAAAGAAACTCATGACTGACATTTCAAACGAGGACAAGAAGTTCCATTTCTGATGGGGGGGAAAATTGTTAGACTGATCTTTGCAGCCCATAAAGTTGTACTGATCTTTGCCGCCCAATGAATAAAATATAAGTTTACCATACGAAATAAGGTTCATTATTCTGGGTATAGTTACAAATGAACTATAATAATATGTTTGCTTCAAACTTTCACTCATCTCTGCATGTTGATACCTCTGTCCTTGAGTAAAACTCCTATAATCCTCACACAGCTAAGCTTGCTGAATGGAATTATAGAAGTTTTGCTCCAGCATATCTGGAGGACATCAGTTTGGTGAAGGCTATAAGCTACATACAAAAATATTTTCCCTTCTTCTCCTCTCAGGCTTTCTTAATACTAATGTTTCTAAACAAATAAAGATGACCTGGATTGTGTCTTGTTCAGGACTGGCTCTACCATTACAATGGGTGAAATGGCCCCTACTCTTCTGAAAGGTTTACAGGTCACATGAGCCAACTATTGTTGTTAAGTATTAAATTGTCATCATGTTAACCACCAAAGCAGAAAACAAGGGGATATTGATGAGGAAAAGAGACATCTGGTCCCAAACTGTCTTCGGTTGCTTTTTGGCAGTAAAACTCTATCAGCTGTTTCGGCATTAAAGGACAAAAGGTGTGACTTTGCTCTCATTTGCAGTTAATCTCATCTCCTGTATTTCCGTCCTCAAAACATAAACTATACATTACAAAGCAGAAATTGAAGACTTCATTAAATAGTTCTACAAGCATGCAAAATATATTTATATAGAATGAAATACCATCAGAGTCATGGGGGGACAGGGAGAGATTGCTTATTTTGGAGCAATTCAGATCTCCCTGGTGGTATTTGATCCTACCATCCTCCTCCTCCTCTTCTTCTGACCGCCACCACCACCATCATTTTATTATTATTTAAATAATCACATTTTTCTTTGTTTATAATGAAAAAAAATATGCTACATGCACACGTATCATGGGATCTACACAGAGAGAATAATGCATCTGGATGTGCTTCAACCTGATTGTTTCCTCATTCATACAAGTATAACATTGGAAGAGATCTTAGAGGACATCTGGTCTAACTCCTCTATGCAAGATCTACAATGCAGAATCCAGCTAGACATCCTTAGCAGTAGCAGTCTACTCTGCATAAATGAGAAAGAAGGATAATGTAAAGAAGATAATTTACTACCCCATGGAAGCAAGTTTTAATATTATGAAGTACCCCACTCTTTAGACAAAATCTACCTCCCTGTTTTAGTCCTGCCTTTCCAAGTAACAGTAATTACATTCAATTCATCTTTTGTATGCCAGATCTTAGGACATTTGAAGGAAGATTCCTTATTTCCCTTTAATTTTCTCATAGGATTTGGTGCCCTAACCTCTCACCATATTGGTCACACTAAGTGAAAAAGTCCACTTTAGTTATATCCTTCTTGAAATGTGGTGCTTAGAACTGGCTACAGTCATTCAGTCAAGGTTTCTAATTTTTATGATTTGCATGCTGAGTTTCGATTAATGGAACCTAGGCTTCATTACATTACTGGTTCATGTTCAGTTTGCAATTAAGTTCCCCAGATCCTTTTCACATGGACTGTTGCCAAACCATGTTTCCTCTATCCTCTGCTTACACAAGTGCATGTGTATCTAAGTATATGTAAGTATATACATATGTTGGTGCATGTATACACACACACATAACATCTTGAGTTCCTGTATGAAAGGCAGGATAGAAACTGTTATAGGATAAGCTGATGGCAAGATGTGAAAAGCTGGAAGTGTTGTACTTGTTGAAAGTGTGTGCATACCTAAGCACATGATGTTCAGAGACATTCCAAGATGTATCAGGCTGTGAAGGGATAGAGAATCCTTCAAGCCATCATGCCAACAAGTTTCTTGTACTCCCTGGGTTTATAATACGGTCATAGTACAGGCACAACCAGGACCATCCTAATGATGCTCCTAAAGATGAATGACCTCTGCAGATTGATGAAGAATAATCTATCAATTACAACCCAAGCTACAATACTAAGGTAATTCAACATTGCCTATAAAAAGAATGCTAAAGAAAGGAGAAATTTGAAGTCCTATCTTCCATTCCACTGAAGATAGTCTCAGAGGGCTCTCCTGGACTTCCCTCGCCCCTCCCCCCTTTTGTTTCCTGGCCAATGACAAGGTAGCCTTCAAGTCCTTCTTGACTCCTGGCAACTGCCTGGACAAGTGTAGTTTTCTTGGCAAGATTGTTTGGAAGTGGTTTGCCATTGCCTGCTTCCTAACACTGAGAGAAAGTGAGTGGCCCAAGGTCACCCAGTTGGCTTCATACCTAAGGTGGGACACAGTCTCCCAGGTTTCTAGCTTGCTGCCTTAAGCACTACACCAAACTGGCTCTCTATTCTAATTCTATAGCAGAGGGCAAATCTCTTGTTAAACAAATTTGTAACAAATCTAATCAATCAATCAAAATCCCCTAAATGTAATTTAGAACTTTTTTTGTTTTTACTTGCATCTCCTTGCATACCTAACTGAAGGAAAAATTAGTCAGAACAGGCTACCTGTAGAGGGAAGAGGGAATGGCCTTGAAGGACAGGAGGAAGAGCCACTACCAAGGCAATAGTCAGATAAGCGGGGCTTGAGCCCAGGCCAAGAGAACCATGTGAGGGAGGGGAAAATACATACAGACTTGGGAGATTCTGTTACTATAGCTGTTACAATAAAAGTAGTCCTGACCTATACGGCATTGGTTTCTTAGTCTGGTCAGCCTTGTTGGACTGACACTACCACCAGCTTCCAGAGAAAGAGAGAAAATTAACTGACAGATCCTGGTCCCTAAACAATGGCTTCCAGTATGATAGAGACAATCTCACAACATATGGTAGTAACTACATAAGTGAAAGAAATCTTGATTGTTATGCATAAACCTCCCCCATGAAAGCACCAGTTCATTCTATCTGTGTTTCCATATCAGTACTGCCTGGGTGACACATGGGTCCACATATGCCAGGACTCAATAGCAAAGCAATTGGCTGGAGCTCAGAGTCACCACTCATCGGCTAGAAAATTGTAGGGAGTGGTGGGCCAAAGAGCTTAGGATGGGCCAGGGACCACCAGCCACCCATTCCTTCCTAACAGCAAATATCATTTCCAGAGTTGCTATTATTAACCACTCAAAGCTATAGCTAAAAATGTGAAAGGAGCGACATTTTATACCTGTCCTGCCCTACCATGTTCATCACAAATTGGGGATGAAGTCTGGGATCTGGGGGCAGAAGTTTGGGTAGGGTTCACTTCCCGTTCTGTCTTCAAGGCATCAGGAATGGGCGTTGCTTGCCTGCAGAACACAATATGCAGTTAGTGGGAGTTTATAGGTTTGAAAAATAATCACAGGATACTCTCAAAAGCAGGGCATATACCAACAACTGCTCAGGCTCCAGTTTGAACACAAATATTAATGCAAGATTGTGTCCTTGGAAAGAACAGGGAGAATTGCATCTCAAGACATTTTTGAGATGACACCCCAAATACTGCAGCTCCAACTGTGCTTAAAATGCTGGATTTATGTTCACGTCAGGCTTCCAAAGAGAAAATCCACCTACACCGTATTTAACCATTAGTGTTATTTGGGCAAGACTATTATGGGTGTTCAGTGGTTTGCAGTAGTCCATGGTTGATCATTTCAGCAACAGGACTCAGTGTTTTCTTTGTTAGGTCAGGAGGTCAAATGAGCTCTGCATCATTGATGTGCTTTTTTCTTCTGTGAGTGGGATCATCGTTTATCCTTGGGTGCCAGGAGATACGTGTCATGAGTTTTTTTGTGTTTTGTACACCACCCAGAGTCACTTATGTGAGATGGGCAATCATATAAATCATATACCACATACACTCGCAGATAAGCTGAGAATTTTAGGTGCCAAATACACTCCCCAAACAGGGTTTGGCTTATCCATGGATGGATTGTCCTCAAGTAGAGAAGTAGTCCTCACCTAGCGACCACAATTCGGACTGGCGACCCTGTTGCTAAGTGGTAGATCATGTGATCATGATGGGCTTATGACCTTTTTCTTCGCTCGTTAAGCAAAGTGCTGTGATTGTTAAGCAAAATATCATGTGATCATGACTTACGATTTTACTTCCGCCTTCTCTATTAAACTCTGCTTGTTACAAGCCAGTTGTGAAGCACACAAATGGCAAACACATAACTGTGGGATGCTGCAACAGTTGTAAATGCAAAGATTGGTCATAAAGCTATTTTTTGTACACTGTCATAACTTTGAACAGTCACTAAACAAAGCAGTCACTAAACAAAGTGAGGACTCCCCGTATACAGTGTTTTTCCCTCAGCTTTTTAAAAGTACCTGTATATCCTGTATATACTCATGTGTAAGCCCATCCGTTGATAATCCGACCCTCGAATTTCTAACCAAAATACCATGAAAACCTGCAGATAAAGCCAATTGTGAAAATTACTACATACGAAAATTTTGAGGATCAGCTTATCCACAGGTGGCACATTTTTCACAGTATTTTAGTTAAAAATTCGAGGGTCAGCTTATCCGTGGATAAGCTTATCCACGAGTATATACAGTAAATAAATAAATAAATAAATGCTGGAAATCTCACTCCGCTGCCTTTGACATGTGATGCTACTGAGAATGAAGGGAAGTCCTCGAAGTCATCCATGAAAGCAATCTGAAGTTCATAGAAGGGATACGTGAAGCTAATTTGATCTGAAATACTTTGTGATCTTAAGACGGTAAACACAGGCATCTTAGAAGCCACCCTGTGTCTCATGACATCATTTTGCAGAGGAGGCAAATAATACTGATCAAACGACCAGTAATATGCATCCATTGCCTCCATGACCAATGCCAATTACATCATTTGCACAGAGACGCATGATGCATGTGACATCATTTGCCCCCACTCCCGCAGACACCCATGATGGGAAGGCCACATGCTTGTAGCAGCAAACTACCACAGTACCTATCTCAAACTGTATGGCTGCAGTCAGGTTTATTGGGAGGACCTTTATGAAGCTCTGAAGTAGGCCTTCTGGACTGTGTTCAAAGATCGGCCTTGATTTTGTCTTCCAAAGGAGAAATGCTGACCTATATTATTCACAAAGCATTAGGCAGTTCCTTGCAAGTTACCTAAAACCACAAGCCATTATGTCAGCTGCAACCTATAGGCTTTATTCTTTGTATTCAGCTTCAGATGGCCTTCCTTGACATATTCACAATATTTATTTTTGCATATTGCTCACTAGCCTATATATTTATTTATATAACAGTACGGCATGTCTTTAGAGCAGGGTTTCTCAACCATGGCAGCCTGAAGATGTGTGGACTTCAACTCCCAGAATTCCCCAGCCAGCATGCTGGCTGGGGAATTCTGGGAGTTGAAGTCCACACATCTTCAGGCTGCCATGGTTGAGAAACAGTGCTTTAGAGACTGAAGCTTGCTAATAAGGAAGGCTTGGCAGGACAGTATTTTGTCATCTACAAGTCATCCTCAGGAAAATTATGCTAAATATATAGAGTGAGAGAGCAGTGGAGAACTCTGAAGTCTCTGTGGTCTTTATTTCATGCACAAATCCACAGGTGGACCACATTGGCTACACATGATTCTTCCCCTCTCAGGAGGCAACTGAACCCAGATGCTCACTCACCCCTTCCATATTCAGGCAACCCCCTGATCTCAGTAGCCAACAGCACCTGGCTGACCTTGCCTGGGCTCCAAAACTAAGCAGGTTAAGGTGTGGTTTGTACTTGAATAGGAGACTACCAGGGCTGAAGATTAGGAAAAACAATGCAGGGGGAAAAAAATAAACTCTGGCAAACTATTTCTGCAATTTTGCTGAGAAGATAGCCCAGGCTTGTCTGCGGAAGCAGCTCATAGAGCATCTACCTTCATCTCTTACAAATCCCTGAGAGCTCCCAGATTAAATCCTTCAGCATGAGGTCTAGAGAAGGATCTGGTCGAGGCATCTAGCCATGTCAGTGTGCTTGGTTTGCTTTTGGTTTAGTAACATGCGTGAACCCTGTTTGCTTTGATTTATAAATCATGGCTATGACTTAGGATTGTATGTAAACCCTCAGCTACTCTGTCATTTTTTTAAATCATGGGTTAAAAAAATCCTGGGGAAGAATCATGTGTAGCCAACAAAGAGTTTGGACTGGTTTTGAATGACAGAGGCAAAGTGACTATATGTAGAGGGCATTATGATGCTGCTCCCAATGTGGTCCGCCTGTGGACTTGTGCATGAAATAAGGACCACAGAGACTTCAGGGTTCGCAACTGTTCTCTCACTCTATAGGACACTACTCCTTATCATGCTACCCCAATAATTTCTCAGCACTCAGGGAGTGTTTAACACCATTGTCTAAATTGCAGAAGGGAAGCAGTTTGCATCCAGGGATCACAATGTTATATCTGCATTAGCTCTTGTCCCAAAAGCTTGGCTTAATCTTTGGCAAATCCCGATGTTGTTATTTGGCCCTTTTACCATCAAATTTAGCAGCACAACCCTGGGAGACTCCAGAGGCCTATAAAAAGGGGGCAGGGAGGGAGCCAAAGTTATTTCTTTGCAAAAGAAGTGGCTCCAGATGCCTTGAGAACTCTCCCCATGTACAAAGAACGGAGGCGGATTTTGGTTTATTTCCTCCCATTTCACTCATCCTTTCACAGAGGTTGCTTCCAGCTGAACACAAAGGCACACCTACCTATTTAATTTCATGCATGCCAGCTTTTCAGAGATACTTTCCAACAGTCAAAAGATCAACAGTTGACATGCCACACTAGTTAGACAATCCTCTAAAATATTTAAAAGCCAACCAGTGCATAAGACTGTGACTCAACAATTGCTTGGGGTCAGGAGGAAGCATAGAATTCAGTTGGATCCAGAGGTTCATTAATAATGCTTTGTGCTCAGCTCTCACAATAGCTCTTGAAAGAGCATCCAGGAACGGAGAACAACGGCAGGGGAAATTAAGCAGAAACCTTTACGATGGGGCTGCATCTTACCAAATCATTCATTCATTCATTCATTCTTTCTTTCTTTCTTTCTTTCTTTCTTTCTTTCTTTCTTTCTTTCTTTCTTTCTTTCTTTCTTTCTTTTT